AGTCGAAATTGATAATAACAATGATGACGAGTTTTCCAGTCTTGTCTTGCCGAATGATAATTTGACTAAGTTGGTAGAAAGGATTGAAGATTATTGGGATGACAAAGAAAGGCATCCAAAAGAAGGCTGTACTCACGTCATCATTAATTCGCCATATTTGATATTGAAACGAGAAATTCAGATCAAAGACAGTGAAATAGATGAATTGCGTGAAAAAGTTGAGCGTCTAAGTCTACAAAGACAAGGTAGATAGTTATTTTAGCTACATGTTTCTCATCGATATATTTTCCATGAGTTTGTTCTGCTTCGAGCCTAGCTTACATTCAATTGTTTTACAGAACCGAATATATTGAAACGTGTATATCTTCGTGGAGAAATTAAAGAGGGTAACGAAGTTAAGTATGGGAATGATCATATCTGCTTCCTATCTATGACAGGTTCCGTTCCATGTATTATGTATAATAAAAAGAAACATTATAGCATAGATGCTTTTCTCAAAGAGTATCTACAGATAATATGTCCAGATAGAGATTCAACAAAAAATCCATACCAAAGCGAACGAAGCCCATTCTCTATTGGAGGCATATTTTACAATGATTTGAAAGACAAATGAGATCTATTTTAGCGAATAATAAATGTGTTGCACTAATAAAAATCATGTAACCACGAAAACTTTGGGTCTCACACTTTTGTAAACACCAGTCATTTATAACGATCACACAAACCTCACTAATAAAAACATTTGGCACAGTTGTGTTGCCTTCGTCATTCAAAAGATTTTGATATGTATTTTTTTCGCATCACAGTCTATTAATAAACCCTGCTAAGATGGCCAAAATTCAACCATGTTGCTTCGGAGGATAACAAGCGCAAGACAATGGATAAGTTTACCATTAATCCCATGAAAATTAAGCGAATACAAAGTATTTAATTCTTAACTAATTATTAATAACAATAAAATTAAAATTTGAGTTACGGATTGAATTTTCGATTTTATATATTTAATTGTATATCATATACAAGAGTTTACCTATGCTGTAAACGGGTCACAAATACCACACATTACAGGTTTATTTTTTTAAAAGAGAGGTCTTTCCTCTGTTCCGTTTATTAATGAAAATATATAGATTACAAATTTATTGCTGAATACATTTCATATTGAGGGAAGAAAGGATAAAGCTAGTTTACTTTAGACCTAATCTTTACCAGATCGGTCGAAGACCTCCGGACATTACAGGTTTATAATCACGTATATATTATTTTTCTGTTAATATATAATAACAATGAAAGATCAGAGTAGTCTTATGAATAAAAAAAAGTCGCAATTACATCGAAAGTGGCCTTTTCACAATACTTGCTCGAAGCCAGATTTTTTGTTATATATATGGGATAACTATATAATCTTTTTTCGAATTTATGAGAAAAAAAGGGTTTGTGACGAATG